TCATCCTCTGTATCTTCCCCGTCATAATCATATTTGTAATCATCATCATGCTCCAGGAACTCAGGGCCTTTTAAAACAACACACCAGTACACGCCTGCATCGTTCATCTCCACTCCAGAGATCATCAGCATGGACCCGTTGTCAGACAGAGTCACTCTGCCCTTCAGATCCTCCGGGCTGGGAGCATTCTTGTCGTTCGAGTCAAGGATGAGTTTATATTCCCCTGACGTCTCTGTGCGGTACCACAGCACTCTCTGGGAATCGTCGTGGCTAACTTTGCATTCCAAAGAGAAGTTCCTGCCTCCAAAGTCCATTTTTTCTTGGGGTTTCTTTTTAGGACAGAGAATCAGCAAATACTGCAGCTCCAGTGAAGTGGAGACGCATGAATATTCCCCACTGTGTTCATCGGTGACGTCCGAAATCACCAATGAAAAATCCTCTGATCTATCACCAGCTGATATATACATGTGACTGTTCCTCGTGCTGCTGCTGTTGATCTTTCCCAGTGGTGTATCCCATTGCTGATCGTTTTCATCAGAGGGACACTTTAGCACCACTCTGTCCCCGTGAGAGACGAATATGTCCCTGATCTCGTTGTGGTCCGGTAAATACATGTTTTTGAAACTGAGGCATTTCTTACCTTTCATCACAATACAGTGAAAGTTCTGCGATCTCTTCAACACGCTCTTGTCAATCACAAGCATCGCCCCTCTGTCTCTGACCTCCACGACACCCTTCATCTCCTCCACCAGAGGCTCCGGTGACACATCGCTGTCCAGGAAGAGTGTGAGTTTATAGGACGGATGCATTTCATGGTACCAGCGCACAGAGTTTCCGTCCAGATCAGTGGAAGAGCTGTTGCAAAGCAGCTCGACCCCTGCAGCTCCCTCCTTTACGATGATCTCCTCAGATTCAACCTCCTCATCGCACACAGAGAGCTCCTGTGTGAGCTGGCTGGCGAGTTTCTGGTTCTGCCAGCATTCCCTACGATAAATCCCAGAGTCCATGTGCGTGAGGTTCCTGATCTGCAGCCCGAGCAGCTGATGATGCTCGTTGAGGTGGATGCGATCCAGTAGGTCAGCTGGAGGTGTGGCAGCTGTGTTGTTGGCTGAGGAGTTTCCGAGCAGCTGTTCTCCCCCTGGTGCAGATCTGTAAACAACGATATAATCCACTCCAAAGCAGTACCCCATCTCGATGATGCTGCCCTGCGCTCTGAACGCGGGCTCCGGTTCCTCGCTGTAGGCCCAGTGGAGGAGCTGGAGGCAAAGCAGAAACTCAAGACACCAAAGGGAGGTCATCTTGTGTGGCTGTCCCAGGCCATGTGTTGCTCACACTCTGGGGAAGCGTGTGTACAGTAAGCTGGTTTTACTGTATCCACTGCTGCCTGTCACTTTGGATCCACCTCCAGCTTGTTCCCTCCTCTTCCACAGACCCACACAAACACAGACACAGACACACACAGACACACACATGCCAAGTTACTCAAGCGAGTAGTGATACATCAAAGTCTTTAACTTAATTGTGCCAAGTCTGAGACAACAAATGGAGCCAAACAGAACCTAATGATAAAAAGTTATGATTCTGGTTGTACATTTACCACATTGATGTGTTGTTGGACTGGTTTTCTCTCTGCTGTGGGTGCGGTCAGTCACCATGCAAGGTCGCTTGATAGCAGTTTAAAGGAGTGTTCGCATGCACATGTATTTTGTGGAAATTCCATCCAGGCGAGAATCATTGCCCATGTGAAAGTGCACCCAGATCATGTTTGTTAACCAACATGCTCTTATTTAAAGAGCCAACTAATCTGAACTAAATCTCTGAGGTATCGGGTATAATGTGTTTCTGTGTTCTGGCAGCTTTCATTACACTATTTCTTTTGTCACTGCGAGGCAACACAAAACTCCCATTCATTCAGGAGTTGGGTCGTGTGATACGCAATATAAAAGCTGTAAAATCTAAATGTGTCCAGTCATTTTATAACACGCCAAACAATATTTTTAAAATAGAAATATTTCCTCTCCTCGGGAAAGCAGCCTCATAATGTCTCAGTTAGCGTTAGAGCAAATATTTTACGTATTGTTCATGTTAAGTTTGGTTTCTATTTTCTAACCATCATTGTTGATGTGTAATCTGTTTTTCAATAACACAACTCAGTGGGAGGTTAATGGGCTTTTATTAGTTTAATATCATTTTACTGAATGTGAGTTCATGAGATATTTTGCTTTAAGTACAACTGAACACAGCTATTATCTTAGTGAACTAATAATCACAAGATAACTGAGCCACTAAATACTTTTCCATGTAAATGTGCATTTTATATACAAAAGAAACCGAACAAGAGTTAAACCTGTTGAACATATGAACGTGAATCAAATGAAAGAATTTTTGTTTTTACACTGAGCTCTGACTCTAAGATGAAATCTGAAACAATGATCCATCTACTCCCCGTTGTTCTGTCTGTTTAGACTATCAGGAACTAGGGGTTTTTACTTCTTTTCTTTCACTTTCCATTCAGTCTGTAAATGTTTCGAAATTCCTCTGGAATTTAAGTGACAGATAACACTGGCTGGGAAAACCCGGTATTTCAGCCATGTGTTGAGGAAGTGGGTCACTTCGGTTTGGGGAAATCAACCTGTTTGTTAGACGAGAAGATTTTGCGTGAGATGATGTGTTGAAAAGTTAAAAAGACAAAAAATAATAGAGACACAAAGTGGCCAAAAAGAGACAAAAAACAACCACATAGAGTGAAAGCGAACACAAAGAGACAAAACGACGGCACAAAGAGATGAAAAAATGGCCATAAATAGATTGTATTGTTTGCTAACATTTTGTATCTCTGTCAGTCGGGGGGTTCTTCATAGGATGGGAGGGGGGCCTTTTGACTATGTGTGCCTAGGGGTCCATTTTCTTCTAATCTGTTCATATCTCATCTGTAAAAAGCTGCACCAATTGTATGAGCATCTGCGAGTGGTCTGACAGCCTGTATCACAATTTGCCTTTGTTGCCCAGCGGCAGTTTGGAAAAGCTTCTTCTTTCCTCTTCCAGATCAATGCCTTTTGTTTTACGTCTTTGTCCACATGTCTGCTCCCTCCTCTCCATTTGTCTCTGGCTGATGCTGTTGTTCTCTGAGCACTGTGTCTGCGCTGTTGCTACCTGGCCACTGTTGCTTCTGTCATACTTAGTGCAACCCACAACATTGAGCATGTGAATGTAACAAGTGGGTATGTGCCAACATGTCTGCCAACAAGTTCAGACAAGTTTGACATTTAAACACCTGCTACAGTTATTTTATGTATTTTTAATTAGTGTCTTTATTTGACAGTCAGTGACAGAGACATGCAGTTTAACCAGGTGAGCTGCCGCTGTCCGATTACATATTTATCAGGACTTCATGTGAACCCACAGTTTCTCGACAGCCCCTCAGGAGTGTTCAGTGCATGTCATGACTCTGGACTTTGACTCCTTTTATGAAGAGTATTTTAGTTTTGATCTTGGACTCTTTATAACTTTTCCTGTTTTCCTTCTGTTAAGGTTTGCGTTGGATTTGTTTTCTACCTGACTTCTGTGTTTCCTGTTTTATTTTGTAGCTTTTTCTACTTGTGTGTTTCCACCTTAACTTCTTGTCTTTGTCCTGTTGTCCCTCCCCTGTGATTGTCTGCACCTGTTCCTCATGTGTTTTCACCTGTGTCCAATTACCCCCCCCCCCCCCAAACCTGCTCCATAAAAACAGACAGCATTAGTTTGAGATTCATGGGTTCAATCCTCACCCCTGCCTTTGTCATCTGTCTCTCTGTGGTGTGGAATCAATTAACTTTGTCTTATCAATTACATATCATATATATTATCATTATGTGCCAAAGTGATTGATTTATGTGTGATAGCTGCACCGTATGAATGTGTGAATGGCAAAAACGGCTCAGTGTGCTGAGAGTGGTCATTGAGACCACAAACAGAACATTCACCTTGTATGTTTTATCTTTAGCTTCAGTCTGTGTGTCTATTTTACTTGTTTTAAAGATCATCAGAGCTTTTGATTGCATTTGTTTTTTATGATTTCTTCCCTCAAGTTCTAAGTTTCTCATTCATTGCATTTAGAGGAAGAGGAGGAGCAAGGACAGGAATGTGCTGATTGCGTGAGTTTGCTTAAACCCTTGAGGGAAGTCTTAATAGGTTGACTGCAAATAGAAGAAGGGGGAATGACGCTGTTTATTCTGCAGGCCCACATGTGGTTTCGTATCCCTGCTTCCTCTCTGAGGAAAGTAGTTCCCACATGAAGCACTTGACTGTGATAACAATACCATCATTGCTCTGTGAGAACCAGCTCACTCATGTCAACATACTGGCTTTTAAAATAAGAACACACCAACCTGTTTCCCTTCGAGGAGTTTCATCTGTTTACTAGTACATAAACTATAATGAACCCAGCTACCCTCTCGGCAGCGGCGGCTCTCGTGCTGCTGAGGGAACAGCTTGCCGAGCTGGTGATCAAGCATCATGATTAAGCACCAACTGTGAGAAAACTCTCTGTGTGTTCAGTCCAATTCAGCCCTGTGCTGATTGCACTCATCAGGGCCTCCGTATGCTGCCGGCTCTGGGGCTCTGGAGCTGCACCAACTGCTGGTGCAGATACAGATGTTTGTTTGCCAAATTGTTTTAATCACTGGACGTACGGGCTGCGATAAAAGAGCAGGAGCTTAGAGGAGAGATATGAGCATGAAATCAAATAACTCATCGAGGTTTCTACTTCACGAATGTTGAATGTTTTTCTTCCAAGAAATAAAAGCTTTTTTTTTTTTCAAGGCGCAGTTTGAATTAGATCAGTTTGTTGCGCACCATTGCTGTGCTGGTCATCGCCTCAACGTGGCGCTGTGGTGAATCAGACAACAAAGACAGACAAAAACAGTAGAAGAAGAAATTGGTGTCATAACAAAACGTCACATCCTGTGACCGCAGCTTAAGGTAACTAACGTTCTGACAAACGTGTTCGTGTTGTTTAAATAAATCCTCATATACTCACACGCACTGGTTCAACAGCAAGCTAGGTTTAAAATGTAAGATCTCCACGGGGACTCGCGCGCGATGCTGGTGGAGCAGCGTCACAGTCTCCTGTGTTGGCTAGCTAGCAAGCTAATAGCCGTTAGCATGTTTCTCCAAATAAAAGCACAGAAGACTTTTATTTTGAAGTCGTTGACCCGATGCGTTAAGACGTCAACAGGGAAACTTCCAGTGTAAAGTTCGGATTTACTTTGTACATTAAGTTGTGCTTCCGAATGTGTTTGACTCTGAGTCACAACAGATGTGACTGATGCCTCCTCCACTGTCCCCTATGAAACATCTGGCAGCAGCTGTGCAGAGTAACCATTACCCTGCTGCTGAGGATCCTGGGTAATGAAAACAAGGCTGTGATGAGTAACTGACTGTGTCAAAACAGGGAGATGAGATTACAGAAAACATGAGAGATAAACTGTCGGATTAGAGATTGTGTGTGGAGGAGTCTTGATGTTTTCTGTTGCAAACTTTGACATAAGGGTTTTATAACATGACATGTCATTGCCAAATATTTCTGAGTTTCTGCAGCCTCTCAAAAGGTCTAAAATTCAATCTTTTTTATTATATTTTAAATTACTTTTCATTTCTTATGGTCTATTAAAGGTCTTAATATTTATATAGGTATCAATATTTGCTCTCAAACATCTATATTGGTCGAGCTCTAATTTTTAGTCAATAGTACATATACATTCTCTTCCTTGGTTGTCACCCACTGTCCCTTCTTCTCTCACTCTCTCAGGGGATCAGCATCTGGACTTTGCATCAATGTTGAATTTGATTGCAACATCCCTGAGCCTCCGGTGCCAACGTGTCACAGCTCTACCTCTAAAACTCAGGATATGTTCGACGCTGAGTTCAACAGAAAACCAGCAGACCGTGCAGGAACTCTATGATCTCTCCGTGGACATTCAGAAGGTCCGGAAACTTAAGGGCTGGGTCCTGCACCAGAGACCAGCCTATACCAGGGATGTATCGAATCTGCTGAAGGACATGGGGGCCTCAGGGTTCATAATCTCCCGAATTTTAGCAGTTCATCCTGAGGCCGTCCTCTGTCACCCGGAGCAGATGCAGGCTCAGAGAGAGCTGTGGATGATTGTGTGCCCAAACCAGAAAGAGCTGGTTGGTATCATTGAGAAATTCCCTGCCTCTTTCTTCACCTGCTCCAGCCACCACGACAACCAGCGACACAACATCGCTTACTTCCAGAGTTTAAACCTCAACAAGCGAATCATCACCAAACTCATGGCCAGTGCCCCCCAGAGTTTCAGCCGGCCGGTGGAGCAGAACGAGGTGATGGTACGCGCCCTCCAGCAGGCCTACCTGGAGCTAGGAGGGGAGGAGGCCAACATGAAGGTCTGGCTTCAGAAGCTGCTGAGCCAGAATCCGTTTGTTCTCCTCAAGTCCCCGGAGGTGCTGAGGCAGAACTTGCTGTTCTTGAGGGACAAAGGCTTCAGCACAGCAGAGCTCCTCCACCTCATCTCCAAACTCAGGGGCTTTGTCATCGAGCTGAATCCGGACAGCATGTGTTGCAGCCTTGCATACTCCAGGGACACCATGGGCTGTTCTGAGGCAGAGCTGCGGAACATCGTCCTCAACTGCCCCGCTCTGCTGTACTACCCTGAGGATATTCTGGCAGAGCGCTTTGAGGGGCTCCTTCGTGCTGGGATCAGCATGTCTCAAATCATGGACACTCCAACTGTGCTGGAGCTGACCACGCAAATAGTGAGTTACCGCATCCAGCGACTGAGGGAGCGTGGCTATGATGTCAAGGCCGGTAGTTTGGAGGTACTAAATGGCACGAAGAAGAACTTTGAGATGAACTATGGAAGATTACAGCTACGCAGAGAGAGACCAATTTTTAACCCTGTCGCCCCTTTAAAAGGAGATGACTGACACAGGCTGTAACTGGAGATGTACTGTTCTTATGATAATTTATACTGTGTCCGTATTAAAGTGTCTCAGTCTAAAGGTGCAGCCACTCCTAGTATTTATTTTAGAATCACATAAACATGTTTATCTCCTCAATTTGATTAAGAAAACTTACAATGATGCTTTATGGACGATGCCCGAGAGGCCAAAATTAATCTACCACAGAAAACTACTTAAAAATACAAGAATTAATTGGTGTAAAGACTGAACCAAATGCTGCTTTTTTTCCCCATGTACTCAAATCTGTACAGCATAGAGAATTTGTTTCCTGCTGCCAAAATTTCCAATCTTGTGGGATGAAAAGTGGCAAACAACTTGTGAGTCATGTGAGTGCTATTTTTTCTCCAAGCCTCAGTTTTGCCTCTAAACGTTTCACTAGCAGTTAAGACTAAGATTGTGATCACAGCCTATTTATCAGTTTGTGTAACAGTATTACAGATGACAATCAGAATCACTTTTATCGCAGATGTAAATACATGGAGGAGAAGCTGTTATGTAACAGCCTCCCAGAGCAACATCAGACAGTGAGACAAATGCATTGTGCTCTTAATATGTTATACTTTTTAGGGAATATAGTCCCTTGAGGAATAAAGAATTTGTTGCAGCTTATTTACAATTTATCTCATCAAAACAACTTCACATATAACGCTGCATGACTTGAGCGTGTAAAGGGGGCACACTGACTCGTCTAACAAACACATCACTGAGGACAAACAAGTCTTTTAAACTGTTTCATTTACTGAGTCACATTTTCACACAATGTTCTTGGTGGCACAACTGGACCCTCAGGAAACTGTGTCTCAGATTTTTATTGTTACTTTACAAATGGAGAATTTTTAGCATAAGCTATTTCACTACAGAAATGTCACTTAATTATGATTTCAAATGAACTCAAATGCTCCCACAAGATGAAATGAAGGAAATGGAGTTTCTTTGACTTGGATTGGAAGTGGTTTATTTGAACACACTCTCTGCCATCTTTAGAGTTTCAGATCATTTATGCAAAATTGATTTCCCATTATGTTTAGTTTTATTAATAAGCCTTTCATGTCTGTGTCATGGATTAGTGCCCACTTTTTCTTTAAGAGTAAGCCACAAAATCAATAGACAATCTTACTGAGCGGTGTCTAAGCCGAGAGAGGACACTGTGAAAGGTTTCCCATCTCATGTTGAATGTTTGAATCTTCGGGAGCCAGCGAAAGACCTTGAAAAATGCTTAAGAGTGGCTTTTAATGGGAGCGAGCTTCGCTGCTAATGAAGCCACGACTTTATGCCTTGAGGTTTCCTCGCTCTCGTAATGTGGATGATGGGGTCACAACAAAGAGAGAGGGAGGACTTGTGTGTCCAGAGGGAGGAGGCGGGCGGCTGGTGTTAGTATACATTAACAACTTCCACTTCCCATCTGCTGCCGTCTGCATCACTCAGCATGGTTCCGTAGTCATGGCGATAGCCACTGGGCAGATGATGCGAAAGTGAGTGCATCTGGTAATGAATTTGAGCTCAGCAGATGGATGCTTGACTAGAGTTCATTTTCCAACCACTCTCAACATGCAGCCTTCGAGGGGCAACAACACCACCTCAGGTCCACTGCAGCTGACATACTGATGTTACTCATTTTCATCAGTGACGATGTAAGTCATCATGTCGCAGGGTTGTGTCTGTCACCAGTGATTAGGAGCCAATACAAGGAGTAATCAGGATGTTTGAAGGTGAAGTAGATGAGACGAGGCCTCAGGTGTGTATAAAATATATAACCTCTATTTCTTACCCAGCGTCCTTTTGTCGACTGCTGTGTCTCATGCTGTGTGCGATGGATTACACAGACAAGCCACAGAGGTTAATTAGAGGGAGAAAAAAATCGTTCATCATTTCAAACACGGCACATGGATTGATATAAGTCATTGTTAACATTGTCTTTATGGGTCGTTTCTCACCAGAAACAGGCGACAACTGCAGTTAAAATCTATCATTTTGATCTTGATGGCGTCCTTGGGTCCATTGAAAGGTGCTGTAATAATGTAAGTTATTATTTTATTATCATTATTATTATTAAACATTGACCTTATAAAAACACCTACCATTGTTTTGTGACATCACTTGTCTCTCAAACTCACCTGTGACCTGATGAGAAGACTCAGATGAAGATTTACCTGGAGGGAGATAAATGTCACATTGATGGACGTCTAATGCACAGACGGTGGATGACTTTCTAAATTAAACACTGCATCTGAGATTCACTACACGGACTCATCTGACACTACTGTACTGTCACCTGTGGCGAGGTTCAGTCTGTTGTGTTAATATCACCGGCTGGCAGATTCATTCATGTCTGCTTTTAAACTGCCACTCACCATTTAAAGCAGCGTTTGTCGATACTTGTCCTTGAGACCCAGAATAAATCTACTTACTGCGTCAGAAATTCTTTTTTCAAAGATCACACTTTGACAAATTACTGTAGATAAATAATGAAATTAATTGTGGCTCAATTTCATTCAGCAGATTTAGTCTCAGGGTCCTTGCAATGACCACTGTGCCTCAAGCTTGTCCAGGGCCTAACTGTTAATACTGTTAACATTGGTGACGTCATAAAATTTCAGTTACACATTTTTCTTCTATGATCAATCAAAGCGTCAGAGACAAAAGTCCCTTGGTTTTATAGCCACAATTTAGATGCTCATTACCCTGTGAACTTGTTAAGCCCTGTTTCACCCCAGCACGCAGGTCTGGAAAGTACATTTTTCCAGATATCTCTGCAAAAAATAGAGAAACAGATCCAAAGCTGTTTTTCGTCATAATAAGAGCCGTACCCGTTCCTCAATTTAACAACTTAACAGATTTCCAGGAAACTTGGTGGAAGGATGCGGTACAGATTATATATTTGTTTGGGATCCAGATCAGGGGACAGATCCAGACGGGCATTTAATGAAATGTGTCATACTAGTTGAATATTAAACGGTCCTGACCTCCTTGTATGCTACTTTTGTTGTTTTTTCTTTTAACACTTGTAACATACAACATCACTATTTCAAGACTCAGTCACTGTAGAAGCGTCAATCAATGCATAACTTAAATGTCACATTAATGCTGTTGGTATAATCTGATGTACGTTGGTAAGGTTACTTCAGTTCTCTGCCACGTCCTTCTGTAATGCCTCCACCTTGTGGAAAAAATGATCATGTACAACCAGATGAGCCAAGATATATTTATTCAAAAATGTGTTACTTGTTTGATTTATTCATTGGCACACTTCATTAAAAACCCTGGCAAAAAAACTATACAGTGAAAAACATTGGCAATAAATATGTTGCAGCTTTTCTAACCACAACAAATTACACAATCTATTTGTGTCTCTACATCCATCTATACCTGAAAAGATAGATCATCATAGCATCAAAGCAAACCAGTTGGATAATTCACTCAACACTTTGTCGATGCTGATTCACTGTCGAGCATATTTTCCATTCAGCTTCAATATCACCAAGGAGGAGGAGGAGGACAAGTCGGAAACATTGACAAGTGACATGGTGATCGTAGATGGCAGCAGATTTTTTTAGACCAGCTGTGATTGTAATATTTTTACACTTAGCAGGAAAAGGCAAAACAAAAATTAAGACGAATTGGGTTGACAAATTGTTCCACTGCCACAGTATCTGTGCTCAGTGTTCGTCATGGATTAAAAATACTCTTCATTGACAAAAGGTGGTTACAACACATTTTTCCTTGAATTTGCAATAGTACGACACACTGTGGGTTTAAATTTTACCAACGCATCTGCAGTTAATCCAGGAGCTGTGCACAGGGTTTTTAAGAAAGAACAGAAAAATCCAGTCTTGTTTTTTTGATAATATCACAATTTCTGCAGTCTTGAATCTAAACGGCATCACCAATCGATTTCTTGAACACTTGGAATTTGTACTGAATGCCTTTCTCCTCCTGAATGTCACTTGGTACATGAGGAAATCTTAAGTGGAGACAAAAAGGGGAAAAAAGGTTTTGTGAGTTTATTGGACGAAAACGTTAAGTAAGAATCTACCATTAATGGACACACTCACTTATTCACTATTAAATGGAACAGATGTTATATTTATAGAAGTTCTCGTGGACACGGACAACTGGACTTGCTTGTTTTTCCTTGGAGATTTCTCTCATCAGGTATTAAACATCTGTACCTGTGTTGAGAGTTGTTCTGTGAAACATGCAGGTCATTGACACCCCCACCAGTTAGTGGATCATTGGGTCCTCTGAGTCAAGGTGTGTATGGCTGTTGATACCTGTAGGTTGCACACCCCACCTGCTATTGTTCGAGTCAGTAGGGTCATTTGATTTGAGGTGTGGTTGGGTATTGGCTGTGTGTGGAGAGAATTGTGGATATTATCGTAAGTGGCTGAAAGCTTGTGTCTTAAACCACCTCCTCTGTTAAGTGATTGTTTTTCCAGGTTTACAAAGATGGCCTCTTTCACTCCCCTTCCTCAAAAGAGTGTCACTTGTTACTCCTCAAGTATAAGGGACACTATTTTGAGGATGGTTGTGTACATTTTTTGGACAGAGGAGACAGAAACCTCTTGGATGAGACATCTTCAAGAAACACAAGCAAGTCCAGTTGCCTACATGTGGAGACAGCAGTAACATTGCTTTTCAGAACAATGTCGCAGCAAACCAGTGAGGGTGGAAGTCAGCAGATTCTTTTGAGCTGAGCTTCACAAGCACAGACAATGCAAAGTGCTGATGTTTGCTTTGTGACAAAGTAAAAATCACTCTCTCATAGGGCAGGAGTGTATAAAGACACACTATGATACAGTCTGTAGATGATATTAACACTTACCTTTCTTGTAGTTTAAACAGTCCTCTGTCAAACTCAGGGAAGAAGACGTCACACTCAAAGTCAGCCATGACATTCGTCAGATAAACCAAATCGCACCACGGGTGACTCAGCGCGTCCTGGTCAGAAAACAAGAAGAAACAGGTCACATTAGTGACAGCAGAGAAATCATTGTGCACACTTCCATGGTTCTACAGCACAAGAAGGAGAGAGTCTAAATCTAAGCTGCAAAGGAAACTCTCTACATGTTGATGGACATTTTCTTTTCAAAACCACTGCTGGTGTGAGACCATTTTAAAGATTTATCAGCATATGGTGATGTTGTTGGATTCTCCTATCTTAGTTATTCAGTGTTTCCGTTCTTAGCATTTTGCAGTGGGGGCTCCACTGACCCCAAAAGATTGCACACAGCTCTTCACATGCAATGCTATTAATTTGAATAACAGGAAATTGAGTCAAATTGCAACACCCTGCCAAGTAGAGAAGAAAAAAGAAAATTAAGAAAGAAAAAAGGTTTATTTAACAAGCTAACATTGGGTTTGATGGATTAAGTCACTAATGAATATCAAAACATTTTTTTCCTAGGGTCAGAGATCTGGCTAACTCAGCTATTCTTTGAATGCGCTGCTAGGGCCATTTTACCTTGTAGACCTGCATTCCACCAACAACCCAGATGGTCTCTATCAGGTCAGCGAGGGGGGGCTCTGAACACAAGCGGACAGCGCTCTCAAAGTCTTTGGACAGGTAGTGGGCGTTATCTGGAACTTTACTGTAAGACAACAAAGTTTAAGAACTTGATCATTAATTTCAATGGGAAAAACTTCAAACAAAACATTTAATATGTCAGAAAGTATGAAATTAATAGAAAAACTAAAAACATGTGAGATTGTCATCCGTGAGCTGAACATTTTAAAGTGTGAATGGATTTCTGTGTTCATACGACTGAGTAGGAATTCTGAAGGAATTGTGGTGTGTTCACTGTTTTCTGCACAAGCTGAGCTGTGTAGTAGCCATGAATTCGTCATTGAAGTAGTATATCAAGAAAGAAAAAAATGGAAAGGCATAATAATACAAACTTTAGTGTGAGCAGTGGTGGAAGTTTCGGTGTGTTGTATTGTGTAAGCCAGCTGAATGTCACAGAAAAAAGGCTGAAGCCAAAGAAACCATCTGGAACGCATTGCTTTGAGAAGTGATTGTGGAAAAATGTGGAAATAGCCGCAAGGTAAATGGATCTCTACCAAAGCTGAAAGTCAATATACACTGTCCTGAAACACCTTGAGATTTGAATTTCTTTACAGTTATTAGGAAAAGAAACAGGACTTGGCTCTCTGTGTATATATATATATATATATATATATATATATATATATATATATATATATATATATATATATATATATATATATATATATATATACTTGTCTTTCTATAGTTTTGGGGGCTTACTTTGATTATGAGCATGGAATATAAGTCTTAACTATAGAGACAAGAATATGTGTGTAGTTGTGTTTGCAAATGTCAAACAAAACAGATGAGTTGTTCATCAGCTGTGTATGATCAGCTGAATGTGTGTGTGTGTGTGTGTGTGTGTGAGTGCTTTTGAGATAAATGACTTACTTCAGTTTGGTGCTCAACACCACATGTAGAGTATTAGCCAATGGGAACGTTGTTTCTGGGTGGGACAACCAGCACAGTTTACCCCAGACCATCATGTTCATCTTTCCTGAAATCAAAATAATTAAAAATATTAGATATTTCTCACGCGGCACAGCTTCCATGTCTCTGATGATGGTACATATTGTAGGACTGGTACTACAACTCCAGAAATAAGCATGGAAGATGAGGATAAAATGTTCTATAGTGGCCTATACGTGATTTAATATCATAAAACATATCAACACATTACATCATGATACGTGACTCTACTTGAGGTGACAGTATGATGTGACATGATATTGATGCTGGGGAATACCTGGTTTCGACACCCTGGTGACAGTGTCGAGGAAGTACTGGAATTCAGACCTGAAAAAGTCACATTTTCAAAATGAATCCAAGCACAAAACAGAAGGAACTTACTAAAATACAACTTCAAATAATTTGCACATAGAATGAGGAATACCCTAATGAACATGATATGTTGTCATAGATTATAAAGCTAGATAATCCATAAAAACACATTTAAAAAATCTACTTTTTTCATGAGGAGAGGATGACAAATATTTGATATAAACAGCAGAACATGCTCAATTTGTATGTAATATATCGATATATAAACAACTGATAGGCTACAATTAATATATTGATAAATACTGAACTTTTGTTGTATTTTTATACATTTGTTATGCTGTTTTATTGTCCGGCCCATGCATTGGGCATATAGCCTCCAACTGTCACTGTTTTATTTAGCTGTTTTATTCTTTAACTTTTTAAAATGTGTTTTTCTTCTTACTCTACCATTAGTGCTCGGACATGTCAAACTGATTTTTGAAGCTTCTTTGAAGATCAAAGGAAAGCTACTCAGTTTTAGCTTAAAAAAACTTACAATCAACATTTGACAGCTTCTCTCGTCACAGCTGTTTCACCGGATTATGGTTGTAAATAGAGTTTTGGCTATTCTAAAACACGAACCCCTCTTTAATGAATGTCTCTAACACACACTGCTGCAGTTACAAATATTTTTTATTTCTTATCAATATGAATGAAATATCAAAAACGTGTCTCTCTTACGGTAGTTGCCAGGGCATTTTTCCGCCTTTCCCGATCCCCATGTCATTGCAAGCAGCCGCAATGAGGCGCACCGGCTTCTTCTGCACTCGGTCCAGGTTCTTCTCCATCTCTAGTGAATACGCGACACCGGGAGCCCGCACACTCGCTGCAGGATCAGGTTCTGCGGGGGGAACCATTTATCGGAATGAGTCCTTCACTATCACCGCCCACCCAGTCGCTGTTGGACACGGTGGATTTCCGGCGTCGTTCTTGGTTTCACTGCTCGGTGATCGGTCTGCTCGGTGATCGGTCTGCGGTTTGACTCGCTCACGAGGGTCTGTGACATAAACGCGACGCACGGAGACAGACTCACATCGACCATCGCTTTGTTCAGATCTCCGGTGCTTCCTGGAGTCCACACCTCAGAGCCACTAACAGCAAGACACGTATTTTTGTCGGAGCACAAAGATTCCTGCTCAGTGACGAACTCAAACATCACAACTCTTCTTTGATTGATCCTTTTCAATGTTTAATTTGATTTACTAATTGAATAAGTCTCATGTATCCTCCTTGTGTTCCCTGTGCTGCTTTTCTTTGTCACTGTGAGCTACTGGGTGTTTTCCTGTCAGATCAGTAAAGTACTGATCTGTGTTACAGTCTCTGAGTCTACAGGTGGAGAAGTGTCTGCTGTGGAAATGTTCGAAGAAAGGATTTTTGAAAACCTGGATCATTTGTGATGTGCCCTCACACTTCAGTGCAATGATTTATTTTATCTGTTGGGTATTACAGTTTTCTCCCTCTGTAAATCATTATGGCATAATTGCATGAATGTGTTAGAAGAGAGGCTGAATACATTCTAGTAGCACTACACTTCATTCCTGATCCTGATAAGGCTGGTTGCTGGCAGTATGACCCCACGGGTGCATCATTATCCATTTACAGAATTAGATAATGAAGTATTTTCACTTTGTAGATCAGGCTGTTGGTTGTATTTAAAACGCAGATGCAGGCTGGTTGTATCATACAAAAAGTTTATTGTAATAACGAGATGTGATTCACGTTATAATTCAACTTTGTGACATGAAGTTTCACATTATTACAACGTACAAACTTATCACACTATGACAAGGAATGGTTCACATTATAACGATATACTATTTATCACACCATTGTGTAAAATGTTTCATGTTGTGACAA